CCCTTCTTCCAGGTAGGTTGGAGGTCCACAGAGTGCTTCTCCTCCCAAGCAAGTTGGGTGCCTGTGGGGTGCACCTTCTCCTGGGTAGTCTGGGCTTCCATGGCGTATCCCTTCTTCCAGGTAGGTTGGAGGTCCACAGAGTGCTTCTCCTCCCAAGCAAGTTGGGTGCCTGTGGGGTGCACCTTCTCCTGGGTAGTCTGGGCTTCCATGGCGTATCCCTTCTTCCAGGTAGGTTGGAGGTCCACAGGGTGCTCCTTCTCCCGGGTGAGCTGGGGGTCCATGGGGTGCCCCTTCTTCCAGGTAGGTTGGAGGTCCCCAGAATGCTCTTTCTCCCAGGTGAGCTGGGGGTCCATGGGGTGCTCCTTCTTCCAGGTAGGTTGGAGGTCCACAGGGTGCTCCTTCTCCCAGATGAGCTGGGGGTCCATGGGGTGCCCCTTCTTCCAGGTAGGTTGGAGGTCCCCAGAATGCTCCTGCTCCCAGCTGAGCTGGAGGTCCAGCAGGTCCCTCTTCTCCTTGGCAGGTTGGGGGTCCCCAGGGTACCCCTTCGCCCAAGCAAGTTGGGGTGTCCGTGGGGGTGCCCCTTCTCCTGGGCAGGTTGAGAGTCCACAGGGTGCTCCTTCTCTCAGGTGAGCTGGTGGGTCCATGGGGTTCCCCTTCCCCTGTGCAGGTTGGCGGTTCACAGGGTGTCCCTTCTCCTGTCTCCTGGGTGAGATGTGGGTCCGTGGGGTGCCCCATCTCCTGGGCAGGTTGGGGGTCCCCAAGGTGCTTCTCCTCCTAAGCAAGCTGGGGGGTCCATGGGGTACCCCTTCTTCCAGGTAAGTTGGAGGTCCACAGGGTGCTCCTTCTCCCGGGTGAGCTGGGGGTCCATGGGGTGCCCCTGGGCAGGTTGGGAGGTCCATGGGGTGCCCCTCCTTTCAGGTAGTTTGGCGGTCCATGTGGTGCCCCTTTCTCCGGGCAGATTGGGGGTCTACGGGACGCTCCATCCCCCGGGGGTCCACGGGACCCCACTTCTCCCCCCATCACC